AGATTTCTTGTGTACCAACTAACATTTGGAAAATACGAACATTTTAATGAATCCGAAAATTAACGCCAGAACCACTTTACACACGATTTACACAAAAATTCGTTCTGCTCGTGTTTCATGAATGAGACCCAATGTGAGTGTGCTGTACGTACCTGGGTAATGTTTCATAAAGTAGTAACAGACTTCACTGAATATTCATAACACTTTAACTCATTATGTCTTTACACATTGTAAGGCATTATATCTTTTTTAAAATAATTGTAACGGCAGTTATAATACATTTTAATACTTATTAATGCTTACACCTTTATAGTGTATTATAACACATAAGATTGTGTGTCTTACTGCATTATACTATCAAAAAGTGTAACTATTATTTATAGACGAGCACTTCTGGTTGAAGAACTGATTATTAAGTGCATTATGAATGCATTATATTGCATTAAGACCTATATATAATGCATTGTATACAGAGGCTTTAAGTGAAGTGCTGCTGTTAAAGTTACTCTTAAACGACTGCTACATTAAAGCTTTTTAATTATTCCATGACAAGCAATGGCTATATTCCATAATTTATCCAATGTAAGCAGCTCTGTACATGTTAATCAGTCATTGTCCTTAGCGTGTTGTGTTAAGGCGGCTCTGTGGAGTGTTCTCAGGCTGTCTCAGTGCTGCCCCTTTAAAGGCTTGTGCTGAGCCGCAGGGAACCGAGTGGAATGGGGGCATACTTTATGTGCTTCTGTCATGTTAAGTTAACGTCACGCGTCACCAACACAGGCAGCAGTTGCAGAGCGATACCTGCATAGGAAAGCAGTCTACTCTGCAAACGCAGTGTCTACCTCTAGAATTTAAACAGAAAATAGAGAAAAACCTTTGCCCTTTGCCCACCGAAAGCAGTACCTGCATGTATAGACAGACAAAAACATATTAAAGTTGTTTTGGTTGTCAATAAATATGCATGCATGCATCCAAGAATGTAAATGAACCGTGGCCTGGAAATCACTTCCCCTTTATGCCCTCGTTCATACACTCTTTGCGCTATTATTGGCTGGCTTCATTAACATGGTTAATAATAAACTGCTGCCACCTAAGTGCATAATAGCAAGTAGCAACAGTAACTATCATGATAGATGGTGTCGACAGTATTAGTTCTAGCCCTCAATGTAACTCTCTTTTTGCTAAATATACAGTTTTTTTCCCATACATTCCATTCATACATTGTCTTCAGCATTACATATCCTTTACATAGCTTCAAAATACAGCAAAGAGGCAATGTTCTTGCAAAAAATCTTTCCATAAACCTTTGTTTCCTGGTCTGACACACATTTAAAGGCTGGGTATGTGTTTGTGTCTGTTTATATACATGTGTGAACTCAGGCTAGGCCATCACATGACTCTTCTCTTGGGTTACACATGCACACACACACAGTCAGGGCCAATCTTGTCAGCCTCGGCTCGCTCACACTCCTTAGGGGTCTCCAGACTCGGAATGCCAGGGCCGTGATGATTGCATCGGCAGGGCAGCCATCTACACACGTGTTTATACAAATGCAAAATCGCATTAAAATGAACACATTTGCTCTCAGTCCATCACTCTCTCTATTAAACAAACACATTTACCTACTTATCTAAATAAGGACATACCATAGACTTTGATTATACACTATGTTTTATATTCTCCCACTTTTTAATTATACATGAAGCTAATTATAAATGCTGTATGAAACTAAATATAAATACTTTTAATTCCAACACAAACCATACATAACCCTAAAAGACCCCCCTAATCCTTTTATGGTTTTATAATTTAAATATATATTAAGCATTTATGAATTGGATTTCCAATTGACAATGTCCCCAGATGGTGAAGGATTTAGCTTGCTTCTTGCAGATGTGTATCTTTAACTATAAATTTGTCAAATGAACAATCAGTTAGTAATTAGACTGATGTACGTTTAAATTGACATTTTTTACATTGCAAAGCTACGTATTCCTTGTAAAAAAAAAAGTACAAGTTTAGCATACTTTTAAAAAGACTTCTTATAAGTTAAACTGAATGTAATGTTTCCGGACACTTAATTTCATGTTAATTGTAATTAAGTGAAAATGTATTCTAGTTTATTAAATGCAATCAGTTGAACTGAAGAGTGTTTTTGAACCACTTAAGTAAGACTTAATTACGTCTTTGTATAAATATGATGTAGCTTTATATTGTCCGCACTTGTGCCAAAGTGCCAATGCAGAAATTGACTTAATAAACCAACCCTAATGAAATATTCATTAAAGTAAAAAGTCATAATATCCCAGTCTTTTTTATATTAAATAAACATTGTGGTGTAGGAAAACTGATACAGAATATACCCGTTTATCACTTCATTTAATCAAATGTATAATACACATAAACCACCTGTCCTCAGATAAAAATATAATTTAATAGTTAATGTAGATTCAAATCCAAATTAAACTTGAGAAAAGTTCAATAGGTGGGTGGGTATACTGCAAAAGGTGGGCGAATGCGGGTTGGCAGAACCTTTAAAAGCTACTCCATCTCTAAACAATGTGTACAGCACACCTGCAATCACTCAAGGTTCTGTACGCACTTGTACTGCACAACGTCTTTTCTCTTGTATCTGACCAATGGCTCCATATCGAAACCAGTGATTAAAATGTTGGCTGGCAGTAATGGAAAATCTAAGATAGTAATCAAGAACAAACTATTTTGGTAGACGCAAGTCACTAAAAAAACATTTATTAGATAACTCTCAGCAGAGTTTTTTCTTATATAGTCAGCACAGTCTGCACAAAGGAAATGCACGTATTAGTAATTAGATAAAATACAGTCGAATTAGCAGTGTAAATCAGCATATAAAACCACCAATCTTAAAAAAGTTGTTAGATGGAATAATGTTTGTTGCTAAGAGACAAATTTGCCAGATAATTGTTGGATCAGAGTTTGACTAGATCTATAGTACACTGTAGCTATTTCCTTAAAAAAGCTATTCCTTAAAAAAGTATTTCATTTGGTGTAACCTAAGCTACTTTACAGTAGGCAGCTACACTACTCACTACAGTCACTACTACGAAGCTGAGGATTAACATTTTTATTTGTTATTATATTATATGATATTTTTCTCTGTAGTATACTAGACCTAGATTTTACCCTGTACCAGATATTTAAAACTTTGTAAATCATGAGGTGAAATTTTTAAATATATTTACAATTACTATTTTAGATTCTACATCAATGATGGGCAACTTCAGTCTGCAGAGTTTAGCTCCCTCCAACCATATCATGCACACCTAAACAAGCTAATCAATGTCTTCTGTATTACTAGAAAGCTACAGGCAGGTTAGTTTTTTTTATATATATATCAGGGTTGGAGCTAAACTCTCCAGGACAGCGGCATTCCAGGGCTAAATGTGCCTATTTCTTCCTGTTCTACATTATTCCTGTTGTGCGCTTTGCGTGCATTTACTTGTCATCTGGTTACAGATGGTAACTGTGTATACCTTGTCTGTGCCACTACCTTTTCAAAAATCATGGGCCCCCACCTATAAGCTTGCTTAGCTTCTTTGGGAGACCCATTCACTATACCCAATTGGTTCTGTACCCCTAACTGTATTATTGTAACGTCTGAAGTGGTATTGTGAATAAACTCAAACATTTTTAAATTCTACCTACTTCAAAGTATTTCTGAGTATAAAGCAGTTGAGTTGCTGATAGTAAATCTACATTTTACACTTTTACTGTAAGAAAATATTATTCAAAATTAAAAATGATATACTTATACTATGGTATCTGACTTTATCTGTCCAGTGAGAGAGCTATTTTTTGCCCATGATTCTTTGCTTATGGAGAACATGTAAATATCCTGCTGTGTAGAACCATTAGACAAGCTGCTGTGGAAACCAATTAGAGAAGTCATTCTCTCGCCATGGTAGCCGCAGAATCCCTGCATTGTTGTCATAGCAACCGGCTTGTCTGGATGACTTCAACAGTGTGTAAAATGCAAATGATATTCCCAAAAGCAGTCTGTCAGAATGAATCCTCCTCTTTCTGCTGAATTGGTACAGTTCAGTTTTAAATAATTTGTTTTGTGTTCATAAAATGTAGAAGAAACAGCTTTTATTTATCCGCCATATTAGTCTCTGTATTGTAGCCTTGCAAGTTGCAACGTTTGTCAAAATTGGGTATTAAAATAGACAGTCTATGGCCCCATGCCACTAAGAGTTTAAAATTATAAATTGTTTCTATAGCATCCAGGCATTACTTAGAAAACAAAATGATTATGAATCTTAGCTTTGAAGGAAACCAAACCTTAAAAATCTCAAGATTTTAGAATGCTAATTAAATCCAGAATTTTCTTAAGTTTGGTGTGTCATTATCACACTCATTGATAGTTTCATTAATTCAAGGTTTGCCATTCTCGGTGACGGCCTTAATTGTGTACTTATCCGCTCAAGCACATACTTTTCCTCTCTCAAATCTCTCTCGTGTCTAATAAACACAGCCTACCTAAAATAGCCTCACTTGCTCTTTAGAGAGCAAACCAGCTTCAATATGAGATGCTGAAGTCTCCATGACAACACCAGAAACGTATCACTTCCCTAAGAGTTTTTTGGAAGATATTGTCTTTTCCGGTTATTGGAAATGTTTTCCAGTATATTTTTTGGCGGTAACTTTTTATGACCTTTTAGAAAAAATTCTCAGCAGCTCCTGTGCTTTTTGGAGAACCTTAAATGCAACAAATTTGTCACAATTACTATAACTAGGGTCTCCTAGGGCCCCCTTTAATTGAAATCGCAGGGACCCCCTGAAAGCTGAGGGGCCCTAGAATCGTCACCACCTTTTGCCCCTCTAGCGATGGCCCTGTTTGCAATTACTATACTTTGTTTTACTTTACATCACTCTTTATGTGATAAATGCACTGAATTTGAAAAGATTTTTGAGTTCATATTCACTTCTGATTATGCTGATATTATTTTTTGCATTTTCGTAGGTGCCAAAAAAGTGACCAACAAGGCAACGCTGTGGTATGTCCCACTATCCCTTCAAAATGTGGACAAAATCATCGAAGTTCCTCCTATTGAGGTAAGAGTCTGTACATCAGTAAACACATTGGGTCTCGTTCACTAAGCATGCGTACGCACACATTTGTGCGTGAAATCTGTGTAAGAACGTTTTCATGAACAAATGATGATCCACCAAAAACTTTAGTACTAAAATTTATTCTAAATGTATGAAAAAATATAGGAACAACTGAAACCACACGTATGCAAAAAGCACTTACTCTGTGCGGCCTTATAATCATGTTAAACAAATTATATTTAATCTTAACACAACTATAATTATATTGTATTATTATATTATATTATAAAATAATACAATTTAATTTAATCTTATACTGCAAAAGAGTAAGAAAAGCAAGGTTTCTCTGAATAAAGCAGCAGATATATGCATATGTACAGCTGGCTAATCAGAGGTCTGTACCGGTAACATGGGTCTGTATAAAATATGTTTATTGTGTTTGCACTGGTTTTGAGAATCGCTCTCTTGGCATTGCTCGAGGATCTGGCGAGAGCGTGTTTGCAGAGAGCGACGAAAGGCTGTAAAGGAAAGGTTGTGCAGAAAGCCCTAATATGGATATGGTTCATAACCATGTGCACGTGGTCACACTTAGAATACTCCAAATTCACTAACATTAGAAGGAGGATAAGAACAAATTCATGTGCATACACATGTGTTGTGAATTAGGCGGGATTTTCTGTGCATACAAATACGAAATAATCCACAAAATTATTAGTGAATGAGACCCATTGTGTCTTCTCTAAGGAGTGACATTAGGACACACAGTTTGTATCGATTCAAATTTCAAGATTGATCTATTTTATTATTGTCACTATTCACATATTTTCAAGTACAAGTAGTTTATCTCAAAGTTCTCTGGTAGTTTACGTCAGAATGTACAATTAGACATTACTCGAATGTTATTTTGCCAAATAATTTAGCTTATATTCACTAACATTTGTCAATCTTGTTGACTTTCTTTCTTTTTACAAATGAGTTACTTGTCAATCCTTCTGCTGACATGTTTTTGTCCATTGCAGTACTCCAGCTCAGAGCAGGAGGAAGCAGGAAAAAAGAGATACGAGGCTCAGAAATTAGAGCGATTAGAGACCAAAGAGAGGAATGGTGAGATCATCATGTCTGTCTCTCTTCCAGGTAACACTTCCTCCTTCATGTCATTACACATCCTTATCCTCATTGAACTCATGTGTTTGATGTGTTAGTCATGTCATGGATCGACCACATCCGGGTCAATATTTAGCAGATGTGAAACATGTATCTTGCAAAAAGCACTGGCAATAACATGGTACAGTAATAGTATCAGGTGGTAATACCATGGTACTGTGATACCATAATATTGAACGATTAGAATAAAAATTTACAATGGTACTTTAAATGATACTATTATCTGTATATTCAAAAACATGGTGTTTCTATAGTACATGTCCAACAAACATCATAATTCCTTAGCATGTTTAATATTTTTGTTGTTGATAGTGAATACTGAGCAGGTTAGACATCTATCATCTATCACTAAGAGTTTTATGAATAGAGTCTCATTTTGACATCATTTTACGCTATTTTGCTCTGATGCTGCACAGATAGACAGACAAAGGGTATGTATACATTTTATTTCCAAAGAACTATGAAGTTAATTGTCAAATAATACATCCAGGAGTATGTATGTATGTACTGTATGTATGTATGTACAGTATGTATGTACGTATTTATCTTTAAATAGGATCTTTATATTAAATTATATGAATATGTGTGTATTTTATTGTTTTTACTCCATTTTCTCTTTTTCCTTAGAGCCCTACACTGTTGCATTTAGTCAGTCAAGTCTGATCCATCTCGTTGGCCCATCTGACTGCACGCTGCATGGCTTTGTACATGGAGGTAATCAAATTAACCCTTTATGACCTGCCATAGAACAATTCCACCAGAGTATATCTTTGTATTTTTACATGCTGTGCTGTCATTCTTTTGAGCATTTTCATATGCCATACATCAAAATAATCCTTACTCTCCCAGTTTGAAGGCAATGTTTGTAAAAAATCAATAGTAACTAGATAAATATCTCAAAAGTGCAATAAACAAAAAGAAAAACAATTTTAATTATTTATTTTTTACATATTTAATTCAATACAAAAAATGGATAAATGTCAACCTCAAACTTGTCAATGTGAAAAACATGCATAAAACAATTTAAAACTATACAGAATTGATTTGAACTGTTTACATAAATTAGTTTTTAAGATCCACTCATTTTTACACTCATTCAAAAAAAGGGAGGGGAAATCCCATGTAAAATATTCAATTACATTGTGGTCAAACAGATAACATTTTGCTTTTGAATATTGATTGAACATTGAATTGGTTAAAATATAAAATAAATAGATGAGCAGACGTATAGTTCATCGTCATCGGACGCAATTAGTATTTCCAAAACCTCCGCGTCCGTGTACTTTCGTTTAGACATAACGTTGCGTGCGTACGCGTGTGTGTGTGTGTGTGAATGTGCTTGTATTTGTGAGTGTCTAAAGGAGAAAGAAATGATAAAATAAAGCAATGGTAAAAAGACAATAACGATAAGAAGGAACATATAGCAAATGGGAGTCAAACGGGAGTCAAACGGGTGATTTTTTTCCCCCAAACCACTTTAGCGGATATCCCGCCCTGCAGCCGATTTCATTGGTTTCGGTTACAGTGACGGGCAGGTTTAGGGATCAGTGTTTGGTGTAGGCAATCTGTACAGTGATTGACATGACCAATGAAAACTTTAGAATCGGCTGCAGGGCGGGATTTCCGCTGAAGTGGTTTGGGAAAAAAAATCACGCGAGTCAAACGCATGGTCAAATGACGCAGCTTGTGACGTCACAACATGCGACACACCCGGGGGTCATAGTGCACAGAACGTGATACGTCAATGAGCCATCGGAAGACGTAACTATCAATCGCAGATCTACAGAACATGTGTGCAAAGACGTGCAATGCATTTTTGTGTGTTTTTTTTGTAAACGAATATTACGCAGTTTGTACAGACTGATTAGAGGGTGAAAAGAACGCAACATGGGCATGTTGGAGGCTTGATCTGAACATGTTACATCTCTGGTTTTGTATGCAAAAAGAATGATTGAGCTAGCAATTTGGTTTCAGTTTCTATAGGCTTTTAAAGGGTTAATGATTATTAAAATGATTATTAAACACTTTTATGATTATTACACTTTATTATTTCTATTCAAACGGTTTTAAATAGTTCTGACAAAAGTGTTTAGAGTCATGTTAGAAACATGCTAACATTAGATTGTTGTTATCTACTGTGAATGTTAGTGAAGTCTCTGGTGCACTATTTGTCTGCCATGTATGGGTGACCCTTGGTAAAGTTGCTTCCCATGACAAGAATTTCAAATCGGTCACTTGTTAGGTTCTATTTCAGTAAGAAATTTGTCGTCTTGTTTAAATCCGAGAGTGGTCTGGTAGTAATTATAACTAAAACCTGGCAATCATCCATATGTATGAATGAAAATTTACGAATGCATATGTGTCATATTTAACAGAACTTGGAAAATGATTGACTAGTGGTAATGCTTAAGAAACTATTGGTCATGCAGTGTGTCTGTAAACTAATATATCTAATAGATTATTCAGACTAATAATAATAAAAAAACGAAACAAAAAAAGAATGGCATTTTCATTTAGCGCATCATTCTATGTGTATGTAAGACTCTCTTGCTTCCTCTCTCTTTGCAAGTGGGGGAAAAAAACAGTCATTCTAAATGAACGAATCGTTTATGAGCGACCCATCACTAACACTCAATCAGAGTGTTCTAGTGTAGGCGGTCATATGATACAATATGCAGTGAAAATATATGTTCTAAACGTGTTCCTATCCTCTAACACAGTCACTTGCGAGTGAAATCGAACAATTTTTAGCCTGTGGCTAATGACAGACATTATTTAGAAGCCTAGAAAAAAATTTAGTCGCATTTACTCGCAATGTAGAGGGTTAGCTGTAACCACCACTGTCCCATTTATACATGCATGACAAGAAGTCAACTCACTGACCTGAATGAGTTACATAAACACAAGAACATCAGCAGCACAGTCCATGTAAATGCTGTAACGGAATATTTGACACATACAGTTAAATCTAAACCTTAATTTTAGATCTTTAAAATGTCTCCTACCAGACATTTTAATTAAATTTAATTTATTGAATTTAAAAAAAAAATGTGGACACTAAGCTCAAGCCCAACAATTGAGGTTTTAAAACTGGTATGCTATATGCACACACACACACACTTACTGAGCTTTTGATGTCCGCTGAACACCAGACAGCTTCATAGCACAATTAATATGTGGTGGATTATGTGCTATATAGTGGTGCATCAATAATGTGAGAAAGGGAAAGCAGAATAAGAAATGGGAGGACGTCTGTAAATGAGAGAACTGAGTGCTCACTAAAAACTACATCAATCACAGATCAGTAATTCAAGTTCATTTGATTCAGATGGGGCTGAAAGTGAGTGGGTGAAGTGTTTACTTTGTAATTAGTTCATTTCTGCCAGTCTGACCCATTGAGGTTGATTTGTGGACTGACTGTGAGCATAATAGGCAGGCATTATTGCATTGTTAGGATAATCAGCCAGTTGTAGTGCAATGGAGACCCAGTTTCTAGCAGTTCCCTCTCAAATTCATGACATGCTTTATAAGAGCTCACTGAGAATACAATGATCTCCAGGGAGGCAAAAGTGACATTACCTTTCTCTGATATTTTATTTGCTAGTGTAGCTGTTAGACAGTGATATTTTAGATATGTTTTATGCAACATAAAAATAAATCATATTTCATAATAAAGCAAGAAAACGCCCTTGCTAGTTTGTTGGCTACTAAGAAAACACCCTTGCTACTAGTGACATGGATATCATACAATCTTGGAAGTGAACCATAACCACTATCCCAGAACACACTAGCATCCACACCGCAATGCACCAACAACCACTCGGAAACACATTAGCAACACCCTGAAAACCATTCAGAACTCTAGCATTGCGGCTGCAAGTTTTGCATGAGCAAGCTCCTAGGTTTTTTTTGTTTTGTTTTTGAATTGATGCATGAAAGTACCTGGATGTGTTTTGATATTGATGATGTGTCGAATGCAGACTTGAGAGAAGTGTTAGTAATCCCAGAATTCTATTAAATAATATAATAAATAATGACCTGGAGAAAGCCTGCAGTACATTTTATTGGCTTATTAAAAATAATATTTTTTTGACAAAACATGAAATATACACATTAAATATACACACTCATTTACACACATGTGGTAAAATAAAAGGATAAAATTATATGAAAATAATATAAATATTTTAGTTGGTTATGACATTTGTTTGTGGTGTTATGTGTTATTTATTGTGCAATGGGTGGTGCTGTCACACTACTTAAAGAGATAGTTCATCCAAAAATAAAAATTCTGTCTTCAATTACAAACCTCATTGGATCTTGCAGAAGCTTAAACATCCTGGTGTGGCACACAAGAATGAACCTCATTGGTTCTTGCTCATCAAGCATGCTTGAGCTTCCATTTATCAAATTTGAGTGCTCCATGTATGTTCGCTGATCAATGAATAACAGCCTAAATTAAATGTGTTAGTCATATAAAGTGATTGTGTCTCTTAAGAAGACTGATTAAACCGTTAGATTCATTTGGATTTCTTTTACAATCTCTTCATGAACGTTTTTTGAAGTGTCAGTTTTGTGTGAATACACTTTCAATGGAGGGACAGAAATCTCAGATTTCGTTAAAAAAACTATCTATCTTCATTTGTCTTTCAACGATGAACAAAAGTCTTTAGAATGACGTGGGTAAGTAACAGAGGCGGACAGAGTACAGAGCTTTGTTACTTGAGTAAAAGTACAGATACCCCTTGCTAAATTTTACTCAAGTACAAGTAAAAGTACTACATTCAGATGTCTACTTAAGTAAAAGTACTAAAGTACTTGTTTTTAAAAGTACTTGAGTATCAAGAGTACAAGAGTAAATTTTCTAAATATTGCATACTAATCTACTGCCACAGTGCTTACATTTATGCACAGAAACGTCCTACATGGAGTTATGAAAAATGTTAATGTTAATACCTTGGAGAATGTAAAAGGAATTGAAAGTAAAATCAAGTCATTTTCATCTTTTTACCATGTTGCTTTATTTAATTTAATTAATTTTTTGGGAGGTCCCATTTTAAATGCGGGGACAACACACACACACACCACATGTAAGGGTGGCGCTGCCAATAAAGCACCTAAAAGCTGTCACAAAGAACCGGCAAAAGGAATGATTATGAATATGTAAAATATAGCAAGGAGATATTTTAATTGTTTATTAATAAATACTTGTTAAATAAACAAGTGTTTTCTTTGTCAGTGTCGGCTAGATGAAGTTGACGATGCTGACTCGCGATCTTCAGTAGTGAACACGCCAGAGAGAAATGCACATTTCATACGGATTACATAAGCAGAGAGCAGTCTGTAGTCTGTTTTCTTTCGTTTTGAATTTTTCTGTTTAAAAGTAGACATGTCTGTGAGAGGCAAGTAGGCTACCTTATACACTGAGTTTCGGTTCATTTATGAGACGAGATCCAGTTCACAGGCCGGCGCCTCCGTTTCTTATCTATCGTCTGCTATTTACTTCTTATTTATTAAACCCAGGCAATTGGTTGATGAAACATTGATTAAAATTAAGATACAATTAATGCAAAACAAAATTCAGGTTAAAGAAAGGTTTTGTGTTTTCTGTTTGATGTCTCTGTGAACGTTTTAAAGCATTTTTTATGCCGCTTTCAGAGCGCTCACGTCCGTAACGGAGAACACGTCCATAACATTGTTTTTTCCTCATAAAA